CAAGTACTATGTCAGTCACAAGTACCCTGTCAGTCACAAGTACACTGTCACTCACAAGTACACTGTCACTCACAAGTACACTGTCAGTCACAAGTACACTGTCAGTCACAAGTACCATGGCAGTCACAAGTACACTGTTAGTTACAAGTGCCATGTCAGTCACAAGTACCATGTAAGTCACATGTACACTGTCAATTTCAAGTGCCATGTCAGTCTCAAGTGTCATGTCAGTCACAAGTTTCCTGTCAGTCACAAGTATACTGTCAGTCACAAGTACACTGCCAGTCACAAGTACACTGCCAGTCACAAGTACACTATCAGTCACAAGTGCCATGTCAGTCACAAGTACACTGTCAGTCAAAAGTACCCTGTCTGTCACAAGTACACTGCCAGTCACAAGTACACTATCAGTCACAAGTGCCATGTCAGTCACAGGTACACTGTCAGTCACAATTGCCATGTCCGTCACAAGTACACTTTCAGTCAAAAGTACATTGTCAGTCACAAGTGCCGTTTCAGTTAGGTGTGCAATGTCAGTTGCAAGTGCCATGTCAGTTAGAAGTGCCATGTCAGTCACAATTGCCTTGTCCGTCACAAATGCCATGCCAGTCACAAGTGCCATGCCAGCCACAAGTGCCATGTCAGTCACAAGTACCTTGTCAGTCACAAGTACCATGTCCGTCACAAGTACCCTGTCAGTCACAAGTGTCATGTCAGTCATGAATATCAGTCATATCAGTCTTTGAGGGGCAGATAAGAGAAAAAATCGTGCAAATGGTGATAAAAGCACCAAATTTGGCATAATGACTTCTAAGGGGATACTTAAAAAATTCACCCGATTGGTCACTTAACATTCCAAGATGGCGGCCATTATTCAAGATAATAAGGGTTTTTCGCATTTACAGGGATGTACATGGTCAATTGGAGTGATCATGGTGTCAATATATATGACTTTTGGCATGCTGAATTCAATGTGTCTAGCTCTACAATTTTCAGAGTACCAGTTGTGCCAGCAAATGATAAATTAAGAACAGCAATACACATTTAGTTTAATTGTTTTA